ATTTAAAGATCAGAAGCAGAAACTCCGCTGCTCTCAGATTAATTCCATCCGCCTCACCTTTACACGCAGCGCCACACAAGGAACCAGAGGCCATTAATGAAACCAAGAAACAAATGAAAAATGAATTCTACTGCGAGCGTTGTATCGGAAAATACTTTTCTGTTTACGAGGCCATTCTTGTTATGTCCATTGTTGCAGCAAATGTTGATATATTCTGGAACTCTTCGAGTCTCAGGACTCCGCGAGGTGTAATTAAAACAGTCGTTTCTTTACATCCGGTAAGAATTTTCGTCCATGTTCGAGGTCCTACAATCTCATTTCGTATTTCTTCATTCGCGTAATGTGTGGCACTGATTGTTTCAAGCCCTAACCTCACTAATTATCCTGTAAGATATAATAATGACGTGAATTGTTAACTGAAGAGATGGATATGTGAAATTTAACTAGTCAACAATTGTTTTGTTTAATTTTAACCGTCTAATCACAATAAAATATTTTATTAAATATTAAAATATTATTACTACAATTAACATTTAATATTTAAAATATTTAAAATATATTAAAATGTATTAAAATGATGCTCTTTTTATCGAAATGTTCGATTTACAATTAGAGCGTCATCTTTTTCACGACATGTTTTCGGTTTTCAATGAACCATCTTCAGGTGTATAATCGATATATAAATTCAAATGTAATATTCTAAATGCAATGTTTTATTTAATTCATAACTGTCAGATATAAATCACTAGCAACAATGGAAAATTCTCCTCCTTCTTCAGGACACTATTAGTCAGCTGCCGTTAGCTTGAAACATATCTTGGTATTACAGACTCTCATTGAACGATCATAATAATAAAATCAGGCCACCGGATTCCTCATTATCTCCCATTTTGCTAAACTAAGTTTCATCTTCTCATGATTTCCAACACCAATACGTCTGATGTTCGAGCTTAATTTCGGTAATATGCAAAGACATGAAGTGGTAATACGATATTCTAGAACCTACAATTCAATTTACACCTTATAAACCCCCAAAAGTTCGTTGCCGTGTATACAAAAGCCAGCCATTTCGTCTTGTCGTGAGCCAGATGAATCCGATCCACACCCTGTCGCCCTGTTTCTCAAAATTCAAATTTTTGTTGATATTAAGTAGAAATTAATTTTTTTAAACAAATAGAAATTACATACTAAATTTCGTCCAAAACCGTCAAGTTATTTTCCAGATTAAATTAAGTCTACGGAGTATTATAAAGACGTGATCACTCACTTACGCATTAACATCGCGTGCTGACAGCAACGTGCAAAAATGTCCTTTGTCACTTGCCTCGTTCAAAATGTATAATTCAAAACATTTTCCCACGTCATTCTGCATATGGCAGGGTCACCGCCAGTTGGATTGATTGCCCTGAGGTCGTTGGGTCGTTACAGGCAGACTACAATTTTTGTAGCACGGAATTCCAACGTGAATTTTAAATTTTCAATTTCAATGTTCATAGTATTCCATTATATTATTCCTTGTTAATAAATACGGGCTTAATTACTATGGAAATATCAATAATGCGTGCTTCATATGTTTCTCGCATTATGCATATGTTGACGGTCCGTGGTGTATTGTTTCATTTCTTTGTCCCAGTACGTTTTGTAATTGTTATTTTCTGGTTGGGTTTTCGATTTATTTTGATACGCTTGTGATAGTCCACAGCTGATCTGTTGCCACAACATAGGCATATCACACAAAACCTTTGAAACACATTGCATTTCAATCTTCAAACCATTTATTATTTGATTTCCTTGTGATACTTCATTTTCATTTATTTGTTTATCCATATACGTATTAACCTCCGTACTTACTGCATCACAGACCAGCGCTACCTATGGACAGAAAATACGTACTAACTAGTGCCTAGTTACCTATGCAATCGATATAAACGCGATGCTTATACTCGATTGCCCATTGTTTCTATTATTACGTTGGCAACATGAATCTCGTTTCGCAAAATGTCGTTCCTGTGACGAAAAACTCTTTAAATACGTAAGTATTTCTACAGTCGCTGTAAAACATTGACCCTATCTTATGACTATGTACGTACTAACTAGTGCCTAGTTACCTATGCAATCGATATAAACGCGATGCTTATACTCGATTGCCCATTGTTTCTATTATTACGTTGGCAACATGAATCTCGTTTCGCAAAATGTCGTTCCTCTGACGAAAAACTCTTTAAATACGTAAGTATTTCTGCAGTCGCTGTAAAACATTGACCCTATCTTATGACCATGTACGTGAACTATAACCTCATTGTGTTGTTCTCTGAAAGCGCCCTTAATTACCAGAGAAGCTCGTTTCTGAGCTTCGTTCCTTGCCTCGTTCCATCTACACTGAAATAACGTTGTTACTGAACAAACGCTCAAAATTATGTATTGCATTAATATTCAATAGAAGTACACACCAGCCATCACACTCCATTCACTGGCTGGTTTCGTGAACAGCTAATTGGACACACAACACTGCAGTGGAGTTGCAGGGGTAACCAAAACCCATATTAACTTGTTACAAATAGTGATTCCCAAACTATAAATCACGTTCATTCAATTCTAATAACATAATGGATGTTCTGGTAAAAAATATTTGTAATTAACCATCATACAAGATTGCGCGATTTAAACCCCAATACTTGGGGGCTACTGTCCAGACTCTGAAGATAACGTGGTTTAGCAGCATGCTAGTGCAACGTACAGAAATCTGGACCACTCTTAAGATGCAATGAAAGGACAACCACGTGTTAATTTCAGTCAACAAGATATGAAAAAATTCACAACATAAAATGTGTAAAGTATTAGATACACTTGAGACTGCGCATAAGTAGCACGCCACAGAGGTATATAAGGGGCATGGAGGTAAAGCTCCATGCATTCTAGACATCAACACCAGGTGGAAGTGTGTGGTCAGCTTCTAGCACTGGTCACTTTACTTCTCAGAAAGACACCAAATGGTGCTCATTGGAGACGAGGCCGTGACGGCTGCAGAGCCAGTAAGGACTCAGCGGTAATGAAACAGAGTTCCGCCACTTACGTGTCAGATTCACATATGTGTTCTTTGCCAAAGGGCCAAAAATGAAGGCAGTGGAGAACTCATGTTCTTCCGTACTCCACACGTTTCAACTTCAAAATTACACGTGGATTTTAATTAAATTTGGTATTAGAGTCCACAATGAAAGTTGTCGGGCAGATTTAATTTTTACATGTATCAGAGCAATAAAGCCCCTACTTTACCTGATGCCCAAATCAAAATTTATCATTTTTTGAAAACCTACTTACTGTACAGAAAATGAAAATATTACACAAACTGTACACATGGGGACGTACAACTTCTATTTGAAAGCATTACTGATACGGTGGACATTTGACAAAATGCAAGATTAATTTCTGACTGCGCAGTGCAGTGCCTGTGACGTAAATCTCTTTACATCATTAGAACTGACAGAACATCAATACCAAATAGCAGACAGAGACCAGGAAAGTCATCGCAAAGCATACCGTGAGATACAAGACGATAAAAAAGGACCGATGAGATACGAAAAACCGCAAAGAACACACCTGGAAAAAGCATACTTCACTCTTGTTTCATCTTAATATTTACAAACTCAACAAAAATCAAGAGCTTTATTTGCTTACATAGGTTAGGCAGCTCTGAAAGGGGTCATATAAATTTTACATTGAAACTGAATATTTTCAGGGGCTGCCATGTTTTGAAACCAAACAAAAAATAAATTCCCTAAAGAAAACAATAACAAAAATGTGTGAATCAGACTGATGTCCATGTTAACACAACAAATGGTCTGTTGATTATGGAATGTGAATGAAGCCTTGATTTGCGACACCAATCATGCTTCCAGCCTCCACGCCACGTACCGGAGAGTCCGCCTGATATTTCTCTAAAACAGGTGCCGTCACTATAAAAACTTGTATCGATAGGCCACCACACCTGCCACCAAGACCGCCAATGTTCCAAACAGAATAGCCCATGGAACCTGCAACTGAAGACGGAGAACAGCTGGTGACAACTGGTTGATATCCTGAAAATAAAATAAAAATGTCACCCTGCCCAACTCATCCTCCTTGATTTTACCATTTGTTAAAGAGCGCAAATTACGGAGCTTGTCATCACGCAGTTTTCTCCACCTTCTTGTCACTTCATCCCTCTTAGGTCCAAATATTCTCCAGAGCAGTTGTATTCAACCTTTTTTGTTCGCGTACCCCCAGATATAATTTCTCTTCAACTTTGTACCCCCAAAGTTGTTGGTGTATAATTCAAGTTATACATAGTATATAATCTGCATCTAAAATAAATTACTTTACTGATTATTCAGTGTTTATCATAAAATAATATATATTTTTTTAAAATTTCACGTACCCCCTAAGATGTCTTCGCGTACCCCAGATTGAATACCACTGCTCCAGAGCACCCTCTTCTCAAACACAATTACTACTATTCTATGACAGACCAAGTTTCACACCCATACAAAATAGGTAAGATTATAGCTTTATATATTTTTTTCCTCTGCTGCATAGGAACATTTTTAAAAACATATATTTTTTACGTGGAAACAATTTATTTAAATATAATTTTAGAATGAGCAAAGCTGTCAAAGCTCTTCGCGTCAGCCTTCTAGTTTTAGTTTTGAAAACATGAACCAAGGCCTAGAATCTTGGAAATTGTACATTTCAGATCTTCAGAAAAGCAGAGTTAAACAACGCTTGCAGCTTCCCTTTCAATGCTGTCCCACGTGTGCCAAGCCACTCCAGTTCCCACGTACTCCATCCTTTTCACAAAAACAGAAACAGAATTCTATAAACATCAAAGAGCACCGAAAGATCAATATACGCAGGTAAACTCATCTTCACGGCACAAAGGACTTTCCATCCCGCTTTCAGTCCTGTGGCCCCATTTCTTTCACTTCAACGACACGGAATATGAACTGAAAATGCCGTCTGCTTTATCCCAATAGCAGTTGAATATAAACAAAAATTATCAACTTACGTCCCACATCCCAGTAACACTGATCAACGTCTTGCTTTTTATAATGACGCCGCCATCGAATACACGGTGCATCAAATAATACTTAAGACTCTCGGAAGGCGCAGTGATAAAATGTGTGATCAGCATTCAGAAGATACCTGGTTCGAGTCCTGATCAGGGACAAGCTATTCTAACTGACATCTTTCTGGTTTTCCAAGTCCATGCAGAAAAATGTTAAAAGCATCTTAAAATAAGCCAAAGCTACTTATATAATGCCCACCCCTTAGTTCACAGTTATACGGCGTTATCATCCGACACTAGAGACCTCGGCAGTAGAAACAGTACAGTAAAATATCTGAAGAAGCACACGTAACACACTTCCCCGGTTTCTCTGTGGCATCCCAACAATTACTCCATTCACACACAGAAGAAGGCAATGGCAAACCACTTCTGGATCATCTGCCAAGAACGTATATGAACAGGTCCCAGTCCGAGAAAAGGATGGAAGGATCCTGTTCATATGGACCTGTCGTCAGACAGAACACTAAATAAAATAAAAAATCTAAAATCATATAAAACTATAATTTTACCTCCTGTTCAGTATGGATGTGGAACTTGGTCTCTTACATTATTTAAAAAAAACAGACTGAGGGTGTCTGAGAACAGGATGCTGAGGAGAACATTTTGAACCAAGAGAAGTGACTGGAGGCTGGAGAAAATTGCATAATTTGTAATGTTCACCAAAATACTATTACAATCATCAAATCGACGAGGACGAGAAGGTCGGGGCATGTAGCATGCAATAACACAAACATAATTAAAACAGTAGATCACAATATCTTTTGTCAACATTTTAAAAATTAGCTTCAATTCTGTCAATAGATATCGCCAATACTTAGGCATCCTTTAAATTTCAGAATAAGTGAAAACACCTTCAAGGTCGCGTCCATCTGTCACCCCAACCAGACGAAGTCCCACCGACGCAGAGATCGTGTCCCACGTAATTTATCACTTCCCAAACCATCTACAGACTAAAATTTATGTCAACAAAAATATATTTTAAGCGTAACATGTTTCAACCTAGTGACATGTAGACCAGCTAGCCTCAAATGTTTATCCTCAGTCCCCCCTCCTCCTGGCAGCAAATAACATGACAGTACTTTAAATTAGACCACGACTCATGACCACATCATTAATCATCGTATCATTTGATTCTATAAGGTATGAGCTACTGACAGTGTTGTTAAATAAACCACAAACACGTTGAAAACAAGAGTGACATGACGACACAGTCAACCATTTAATAAAGACTCTGAACAAGAAGCAAGGTAGAGTCTCGTGTTTTTGACACAGACGTAATCAAACTACCTTGTCATTCTTGGGTAAGCTATCGGGCGGTTTGTCCTGTCCAAGCATCTTCTTGTACAACTTCTTCTCATGCACCGTGTCCTCTTTGTGTAATCTCAATATCCGCAGCAGCTCCTGTCGTATCATCCGATTATCAGGCTCCAACTGGCTTGCCAACCGCAGAGCTGCCACTGCACTGGGGTTCTCCCCCTTTGCAGCGAGAATCTAGCAACACGCAACGCAGATGTGGCTTAGAAAAACAAGATTTAGCTCTCAGACGGCGTAATGATCATGTAAATGTCTACCGACTCGGCAAGTAATGATAGAAACGGAGTTCAATGCCATCACAAAAGACATCGAACAGCACAACACTGACACTATTAAAACTATTCTACAATGTATTACTCCGGTCTACTCAGTCAAGTTCAATTTTAATGTCATCGGCGATGACACGCCTGATAACAGACTGACTGACTTTACATCTGGAGTTCAATTCTGAGCAGGGAAAAGAATTTTTCTCTTACTACTTCCGAGGCCAGTTCTCGTGGCTGCCCAGCCAAGTAACAAATGGGCACTGGGGTTCACTTTTAAAAGCAGAAGGCCCAGAAACTAGTCACTTATCTCCATCAACTTCCAAGATATGGAAAGTGTAGAAATATCCAACCTCATGATACACCTTCACAGTGAAGTACTTCATGGCAATGTGATACATTTATTGTATCATCCATGCTAAAAGTACGGACCACAACATTTCTCATACATCCAATTTAATCAACAGGACAGATAAACGATATAAAATGTTTCATACATTAGACTCAATTTATTTTGTGCCTTGGAGAACGAAATACCGTTTAAGTGGACATGGTAATAGATACTTTCCTTAAACTGTGATTTTTTTTTTTCCAAAAACATCCCAAAATTAAAGATTTTACTATAAACCTCCCATTTTCTTTCATGGTTCATTTTACAAAAAGCTCAGACCTGCACAAACTCAAAACAACTATACCTTGCCTTTCCTAAATAGTGCTTTAACATTGTTTGGTTGGCAGCGCAGAACATTTTCCACGGACTGCAATGCTGTATCATGTGCCTTGATCTTCATCTGCGCTGCTGCCAAATTATTGTACACTTTCAGACGATCTTCCAGCAAATCATGCAGCTCCTCTTCCGTGCCCTGTGGTCACATTCACAATCTGAATACAGTGGTACCACAATCATAGGCTGATAACACATTAACTTAACCAGCATAGCATGACCTTTCAAAGTTGGCAAAAATGTAACATCTAACGTTAAATGGTAATACAATTTATTGTAGCAGTACCTTCGCTAACCACATTGAAAGCACCAAATTTATTTTTGAAGTAAATTACGAACTGCGAAAACGTCTTCAAGGCAAATAAAACCAGATTTGAATCGTAATATCAGGATGCTGACACATCAAATATAAATTGTTCTCACCTGGTTGCTGCCTTCCCGTTCACCGCTCGTCAAAGTTATCCCGCCCTCAATGTCATCGAGATAGTCGAGGGCACGCCGATAGCACTGGATAGCGAGTGTGTGTTCTTGACGGGAATACCACCAGTTGCCTCGCTCCCTCTTGCGACATCTACACAAACAAAAATAATCCAATCCTTAACCTACATATATATATATTAGAGATTTTCCATACCTAAACCCTAAACCTAAATCATGATACTAACACAAAAATACACCAGTCCATTTGAATATAAAAACATTCCCAGCACCTAAGCTCTGTACCAAAGGGGGCAGAGGTACAGGTAATACGATAAGTTGGCCCTGTGCTTAGTTAAGCACCTCTCCACGAAGGTTCATACATTTTTAACCTCAGCAGTAGACGCAGGAAAGGTAATTTTCACACCTTCTTCACTTTACTCCATTATCCAACAGATAAGAGGCTGGGCGAATGCCACAATCTGGACTCTCGCAAAGACTCTGATGGCAACTGAACTCGTCATCCACCTCATACCTTAGTCATTATATTAACAGAGGGAATTCAAACAAAATACTTTTGCATGACCGTACCATCTCATAGAACATGTACAATAACAAAAAGCAGAAAACCAGCCTCTGGACCATTCCCTTCCTCTACAGTTCGGTGAGTTCGACATCAGCCAAAATGTCAGCAGAATCATAACATCTATACAGAATTACCCAATTTCTTTCCGCTTTGTAGCTGGCAGCACTTCTACGTCGGGTTCCGGATCGGCACTAAGTAGCTCCACAGTGTACACAACTGTCGCGTCACGTGGCACATCGGGCTCTCGGCCAAGAGCGCCATATGCAAACCGTGGCCCGATTTCTAAAAGGGCAACTTCTCCCACATCCATAAGCGGTAAGGCAAGATCCAAGCCCTGAACTACCTACCACATAATGCAAACAAAACAGAGCAATTTGTATGTTATTCATATAAAATTCTAGGTTGTGAAATAAACATAACTGTACTAGTTACTTAATACCACTGATTCGAGGCCTCAAAAAACAAAATATTTAGGGGTCATTTAATAATGAATTGGGAAGGATACTGAAGGAAAAAGTTAGGGTGTAATTCAAGGTAATATCCTGGCACCTACCTGGAGAGTCTGAGAAAAATCATGAAAGCTCTCAGGATAGCCAATATTTAGGCAAAGATTTAAACCTGGGGCATTCTGAATATCAAGCAACAGTTCAAACAACTGGTCCACGATGTTTGGCAGAAGCACGACTGTATTAAACATCGTTCACTACGCTGATTACAAAACCCATCACAAACACCACCATCAGAACCTGTTAACTAGACTTACACTGCATGGGATCTGAGAACTGAAGATATCAATGTTAATTTTCTGGGTTGTGATGCTGTATGGACTCGCAATTGGCCTGAAGATCGACGCAGTACGTCCCTTCAAAATATTAGTACACACCTGTGTCCACATAGCATTACAACACAGACCATCATCAAATACTTATACTAACTTGGTCCCTCGTGATCTAGTCCAAAACAGCACCGGGCTGTAGAAACTAAATTGAAAAGGGGAAGAACCCAAAAATAGCAGAAAAAATTATGAAGCAGACTTTTGGTCTTTCACTATTCCCATCAGAGAAGATAATGGATAATGGTAACTTGCCCACACCAGATGTAATGTTCAGCCTCTTGGACTTAGACTGTGAAATTTTCTCCACGCCAGATATAAGTCATACAGTCCAGTGCACACCACACTTACCTCTGCATCGCCAATTTGGATACTAAGATGATCATGCTTATCAACAATAGTGCCATCTGGTAAACGACCTTCTAAATTAATTTCACATATATGTGAACGCTGCGGTCTGTAACTACTTTCTGCACGTTTCAGTATCTGTGAACAATTACAGTAACAATCAACACACAAACCAAAGTTTAACAAAATCATTTAATAATACAGGCTGCACACACACTATATAGGTTACAAACCCATCCACAGCAAAATCACAGCCAATCCATTAATTTTACATGGACTGAACATAATTTAAGGTTTGTTTAAACCAGTCGCAAGAACAACAAAAGAGTGTAGTTGTATACTCACTTTCTTCTTAAGCTGTCCGCTGCCTAAAATATCAAGCCATTCTTCCGTCTCCCCCTCATCCTTTTCCTCATCAACACTTCCTTGCGTCTTGTCTCCGTTTATTGATTCTGTGTTCTGATCGCCGTTAGATGCACTACCTTCTGTTTCTGGTTGGGACACATTGACCTCTAGACTGGAGTGTGACTGGCAATTTTCGTCAATTTCAATTTGCTTTGTCACACATAACGCAGAATTCTCCAGTTGTTCTGTTTCCCCATTTGAAGGAAGGTCAGAGTTGACTGAATTGGTATAACCGGAAAAATCTGTGTTCATCTTCTTGGGATTCCTACCTAAAATCAATTAATATACATGTCAATGATTAAAAACGATAATTTTAAATGAAAATAATAAATTGAAATGCCATTCAACAACAGATCCAACTCTTAACTCAGCCTATCATAAATATTGAAACAAACACAAAAAGGCATGCCACTACCACAAACACCACCACTGTCAAAAGTGTTGGTGTCTCTACCCAAAAAAATTTAGAATATTTTTTTGCAGTAAGACTAAGTCACCTCACTTTAATTTCATTTTAAAAATTTCTGCAGGTTGATTCCGACGGCTGAGGCATAATTTAGATAACCTTATACAAAATTCGGGCATTCCTTTATCGTGTATGGTACAGAAGATACCAATTCGCATACAAACAATAGTATAATTACAGAGCTAAAAATTTGTCAACGCAAAACTACCTTCCGCCTGAGCCTTCACTACACTAATAGGCTTAGTCATGCAGTGTAAAGGTTAGTTCCCGGTAGCCTTTCTTAAAACTACCTTAGCTTACTATCACAATTAAAATCTGAATTCGATTTTAGTATTAAGCTTCATATATTTATGTCAATATTAACTAAAATAATGACATACAACTTACATAAAAACAAAAAACAATATATTAGCTAAACTGATCCATAACTCCCTTCACAAAAAATTAATACATCCAAGGAGATAAGTGCACACAGTGCCAACTAAGCAAAAATTTCGAAGATTAAATATTGACACACGATCCACACCAATAGCACGAGAACAAATCAGAAAACCCTATCACCGTTGCTAATTTAACCTTCTTTCCGACACTGAAATGTGCATCAGATTGCGTATCCACCCTGATGATAAAAGCAGTATGCACCACTGATTTCTACCAGACACAAGTCAAAATATCTCTGGAGACAGTCACCCTTGGATTTCTGAATATAACTATGTTACGAATGGGGGAGGGGCAAATATTAAAATGGAAGGTAGATAACGCAGGGTCGCTGGTAGTTCTTACTACCATGGTTTGATACCAACTGTTACCGCCAGATCGATCAATAGTAGTTTCACCCTGATGATAGAAGCAGTATGCACCACTGATTTCTACCAGAAACGAGTTAAAATATCTCTGGAGACAGTCCCCTTTGGATTTCTGAAAATAACTGTGTTACTAATGTGGGGAGGGACAGAGAATAAGTTGGAAGGTAGATAACGCAGGGTCATTGGCAGTTCTTACTATCATGGTTTCATACCAACTGTTGCAGCCAGATCGATCAATAGTTGTTTCAATATCCCTGCCGACACAGGACAGAACCAGGAATGAGTGTCGTCGCCACGAAATAACAACTAGTCGCTTTTATGTTTCACAATTGTGACAGCAGAATGCGTGCCGCCAAACGCCATAAACGTTGCCAACTGCTACCGACAAGTAATGTTGGTATTGGGTGTTCAATCGAAGTGTATAAGAAACTATAAAATTTAATAAAATCTAAGGGCTTTATAAAATGACTTCATCGTTAATGTATTTTCATACTCCAAATATTCGTTTTCTTCCTTTATTACTGACAAAGTGCAATTTTGCAACTAAAATAGAAGCAGGTGAATTAATTTAAATTATATGTAAAATTGGGTTATGTTACATTAGGTAACCTTAAAAGCCAGTCAATTTGATTTAAATATCTTTTAATTTCAGCGGGTGGCATTGCATCTCTTGGCAAGAAAAAGGGAAAGCTAACAAAATTAGGTCCAATGATGGAAAAGAAAGTTATTCCTGTCGAAACAGACCCACATAAACTTGTTAATTACGTGTGTGGCACTAATCTTCTTAAGGAAAGTGAAAACATAAAACTTATGCCTGATGATCAGTATCCTGATTGGCTCTGGACATTACGAACAGGTGATACATAATTAACATATTATTCATTAAAGTTGTTACTGTTTATAAAAGTGAATAACTATTAACAACATACTTTGTTTAATGTTAACAGATGTAACTTAAATTGTGCACATTATAAAGATATTGTAATATATACATTAACGTTAATTATGGCATTTTGTGGAAGGACAGCACTCATTTCTTCAACACTATTGCTGCTACTATCAGTTTCACCAACATTCAGTTCTAGAGTGCGAGTGCACATCTAATAGAATACCTCAAAAGCAGTAAAATAAGTAACGAGTTAGATTAGATTCACAATTGTAACAATTTGTTTTTCAGTTCCTTTTTCCCTTCGCTATTTATTGTTGAATACCTTCATAAAGGCAATTAATGTTTGACAAGAAGATAAATATTTTCACAACTGATGATAACATTCTTTTCCTCAGGATTTTTGCAGCTACTGTTCAAAGTATAACTTCACCTTTCAGGGATGAGCCTTATCAAATGTTGAAAGTTATCCAGTGTTTGCTGAAACTTTGGATGACTCAATATTCAGAAAGGCTCATCCCTGATAGGTGAAGTTTAACACAGAAGTAACATTATTAGCAAGTGTGTATCTTAGTAGGGATGATTGTTTAGTACTTGAACAGGAGGTTCTATGTTCTAGGGAAGGCCCCTACACTAGATGAGCTGGATCCAAACACAAAAGAGTATTGGAGGAAGGTCAGAACATTGGGCATGAGAAGAAATAACAAGTTATCAAAACTGAGGAAGTTCTAGGAACATCCAAAAAAAGAAATCTGTGTGGCCAAGGACAATTGGATTGTAAATGTTGGCATGAGTGTTATGTTTCCAAAATCAATGTTTTCAGACCACCAAAGACACAAATCATCAAAATAAATTAAATGAGATAAGAGATTTTCGTGGCACTGATCTGGCTCTTAACGCCAAGTAGACTCGTAGACAGACGCTGGAGTTTCAAAGGAACATGCTACCTTGAAGGTGGAGAGAGAATATTCCTTCAAAACCTTTGTATCCGCCTGCATGTCCACATAGCATGACAACCGAAAAGATCACGAAAAAAAGTAAGTCATGTTTTAATGGCTGGAAGCATTGATAAGTTAACATTTACTAGTATCCATGATGTATAGTGCACTTTTTACAAACTTTATAAAGAACTAATAATCAGAATAAATGATGTATTATACTGTCATACCTCTTTAATGTTATATGACTGAGAGCCAGAGAGGAGAATACGTTCATCAACAAAAACACTTGGGCCTGTCCCAGAGCCTAAACTTTGATCCAGTCAGGAACTAAACCCACAATCCTAAAAATAAGGTGTGTGTTGCTTCTCTGGTGTCGCAGCCCAAGAAGTCATTTCTAAACGAACATCAACCTGATCTGTTAACTGCATGGACCAGAGTCCTCGAGAGGCTGATAGTCATTCGGCTAGGAAGGAAACCCCCCATTCTTTTATTACCATGTTCATTATTATATCGTCCTCTAATATATGCCTACTTCTCCTCCCTTCCGGTTTTCAGAACTTAAAAATTTGTACCTGTTTCTCATTTTTCTAATTTGTACAATGCCCTCCACCCATCTCATCCCTCCTTCCATGTCCTCCTTTACCAATTCCCATAAGTCCCATTGTTCCTCTTAGCATTTGTGCCAACCCCCTTCGTTAAATTGCATTCCTCCCTTCCCTGTTGAGCTTCTATAAAAAAATATATGTGTATGTTTTACTTTCCTATATCAGACTAATTCTATGAAGTCACAGCATTAGGCAAACCACATTTCCAAAATATTTTATGCACATAATAATAGAGAAAGAATAATGCTTAATTTTTTCTTCATGTATTACGTCTACATTTTGCACAGTAAAGTGTATCAAAATTAATGGACCTGTCACACAACGTACGCTCTACAGCATACTAATGTGATTTATTCCAGGGTTTCACCTACTCTTGGAAGCTCTTCAGTATCCACCATCTTCCTGAGTCAACCACAGCTTCGTAAGAGCCCTTTTAGCGACCTGTATCAATGATCCTGACAATTACTGTGGCGTTAACTAACAACTGACCCCCTGTTACTTGAAGCTGTCAGCCACTTGCTTCTGACAGTGCCTTCCCCCTTAAGGGGATGCAGCATCAGATTTGGAGGGGGGGGGTGTTAAGTTAGCAAGGCCAATGTAGAAAAACCAAATAGGAAAAGGGTGGATGGTCATGAATAAAAGAGAAGCACTCATGGGAGAAAAGAAAAAAAATGGACAAAGTTATAACACTTTAGATATTTATGACAGTTCATTTAAAAAAAAAAATGTTTGGTCAGACAAGCGGATCTTGCATCATAAAAATGCATCTCCCCACACAACATTTCCGACCAGAAAAATAAATAAATTACCATTGTCTGAACACCTACCAGAAACATTTGATATGGTCCCACGGACCTTTTGCCAATAACAATCGTAACACGAGCGTCTCCATTTAGAAGAATCAGGTTTTCTTTTCTTTTTTTTTCTTTTTTGGGTAGATTGGCGACTTTAATGTTCTCAAAACCGTAAGTTTCCTCACTATGATCTACTTTTCAATTAGCTGAAGACATTCAAAGCAATTTAATGATCGCATTGAAACAAAATTATTTCCAGCACTGGTTCCAGACATCGCAATGCGAGCATAAAGTCACAATGCAAGTACTTCAAGTGTAAACCATACTCACTAAATGAAATCAAACTGCTTATTGAAAATGGCTGTCTTCTGAGAAGTTTAGCGGCGTTTCAGAGGTACATACTGCCTCCATCATCAGAGTGATACAGACTGCTTATTCCTCAGGCCACATTAAGATGAGATTTTTAAGACAAAAGAAAAATCACATAATTTTTAAGTACTATGTTTTATTATAAACTATAAAGTCAATCTGATATTAATAAAGTGCTTGGTACCACTAGGTCTTTTCCTGTCCTTCAGATTTAGCTTCTTGTGCTGCAGCCTCAGTTTCTGCAGCTTTGCGATTCCTCCACGCGCTCATGTAGCACCTTGGGTGGATGGGAAAGAAACCACAGAGTCCTGCAGCAGAAGATACAAAGCCACACGAATATTTACACAACGAGACATAACAGTTACTTCCACAAAGTCTACACTAGCAGTACTAAAAGAATCGTGATCACATTCAGTAAAACTTGTAACAGACCCTCAAGATCACATGAACATTCTTCCCATTCAGAAAGGTTTAACCCCACATACATGAAATTGCATGATCGAAATCACGAGCCTTGAACACCAATCCACACATGTACACCAGAATACATATTTTTAGTTTTCCTTTTTATTTTTCATTAAGCATTGTAGAATATTTATCAGTTGATGGGCTTCATTCTTTTCTATTTGTGGCACAAACATTCCATCTCAAATAAATTCCAGAGAGAACAATGATATAAAATTATATTAAGGTATAAAAATAAATATTCACACACTACTTTCTCAATTCAGTTTCCACAACAGACACTGCCTTTTCATTATTGAAAGCAATTTTTTACTACAAGTTTTGTGGTTTTCACAGCAGTAAGGATGACACTTATTGCTCTGGGTTGCGATGCCTTGTAGACTTGTACACATATGCCAATATTTTGGAGAAATCTACTGTTTCTCTCTTCAAGGTAATCAGAGGCATTAAGCACCTCTCAAATGTTGGTCAATTTTTACCAAGCTATATAACGCAATATCCCAGAAGACAGTTATTTTTTATATTTATAGTTCCAAATCACAAGTCAAAGCTTCTTGATCCTTACCTAATAGTTCTGCGACAGGGTAAGATGTGTCAGCACCCCTGCCAAGCCAATGGCGAACTCTCTCGAAATTCAAAGCTACCAATCTTTCATTATACTGGTTACCAAGAGGATCATACGTCCCCAGTTGTTCAATAACTTGGCTGTGCTGGTTAAACCGTTTCTGTAAAAGAACAAGATTAAAATTGCAGTGCAGCAATGTACCTGAGCCACTGTACAAATCCACATCAGCTGCCAACAACGTTTCAAAAGCTGTGCCTTATGTACATTTATTTCAGAGAACACGACAGAAACACAAAATAAACAAACTCCTGTACATGACCAACAAATTTGTTAACTGTAGGGCAAATATGAAACGTAAAAGGCAAGCATCTTCACTGTCATCTGCAAATTATATAGCGAAAATACGTCAAAGCTGAGTACTCCAGTCTACTTTTAATCACAATTTTTTGTGCGCAGTCAGGATTTATTAACATATAATCATAAAATATGTCACGTAACAGTGAATTACATCTCCAGTACTGGGCAAACAGTCAGAATTTATTAACATATAATCATAAAATAGGTCATGTAAGAGTGAATTACATCTCCAGTACTGGGCAAGTCCCTGTAGTCAGATTCAACAGGTAAATGAGCGGATGACCTGAACTAATTACGAATTTTATTGCCATTCCAAAGTAACTTAACCTCAAAAACTTTGTACCCATAGTACTCCTTTAAGAGTTAGTAACATGAATTCGTATACAATGGTAATGACGATGGGATCATAATTTTTCGTAAAGAATATTCATAACTTCAAATGTGTGACGTAATATTTTTGTTCTACATTCAATTACGCTTACGTTTATCACAATTTCCGTCGTATGTATGAAATATGTTACTTACTTCCATTACAACTATATGGAAGAAAGGTCTATTTGTGCACCCATGTCTTGCAAATCTTATAATTTTAGGAGTATAACGCATATAAGCACCACCTCCACTTGCCGGAAAAGGCATTTTGGTTAAATGACAAATTAATACCACGTTCGTCTACATTCATAACAACAACAAACTCTTTTCTGCCATGTTTCTATTATTCCGACCAAACAGCGACAACCCACCGAAAGCGTGCTGTGCTACCATCTATGAGATAATAAATAAAATTAATGCTGCAGTGGAAACGGTAGCTCAATCGGTAAGGTTCATAGCTAATTAACCACTCACTATTTAATTTACCCTCATACCAGAGTTAATTGGTGTATGTGGTCTACAGAAGCTGACTGACTCAATCACCATGCTGCTATCAATTTTAATGTTATCTTCATACAAGCCATCTTAAGATTACTGCAGAACAGCTGATTATCCGAAGAAGTGATACAATTTTGAGCATGATGCATTTAAATATTTTCAAAAACCTTGTGTGCCATGATTTTTTAAAGGATATGATATGCTTTTCAAAAATAAACAGGTTAAAATTTTCTCAGGCTGTGAAATTAAGGAAATGAAGAAACTTACATTAAAAGTATTATCTATTCCTATCAGCAATGCCAACACAGAAGTTTTCCCATAATGGGAAATGTTCAAAAGAAAAAGAATTAGTAAAAACAGAGCCATGAAATGTTCAAAATATGCATCAACTTTTGACACGTCTTCATCACAAAAATTATACAATTTAAAATTATGATTTTGCATTATAAGAAATCTAGCCCCTCTGCTTTATAATGAAGATGTCCTGGGTTCAAATCTGGGACTATCTTGACTTGAGTTCTTCATGGTTTTCATTAGTCCCTCCAGGCAAATGCAGGTACAGAACCTTAAAATATACAAAATGTATTCCGGCTTCATAACTCACCAAAATCCTACTCGCTGTAGAGTTCATGTGTCCAGCTGCAGGTGATTTGCCTGGAACGTCATTGAACTGTCGACTGCAAAACATTTTTTTAGACATCGAGTCCTCCATTTCCACAGCGTTTTATGCAAGATCAAGTTATTTTAATGTTAAAAATCTTCTTTTGGCAAAATATTTAGTTAATGAAGCAGGTATGGTAATTGCTCTGCTGGAAAAAGTTAATATAAAATAATTATCACATTTCTTAATGCAAAGCGTGAGAGGAGTTTTTTTTATTACAGCATCTAAATCTCTGATTAAATTTAATCATGATTTTTTTTTATTAAAATTACTAACATGACAAGAACGCTGGATGCTAACATCACATGACTCGACGTCTCAACCTCAAACAAATATTTCTGTCAACTCCAGACATGTAAAGAAAACATCTTCAGTATTATTTTAACCCTCAACCTTTCTCCATTTGTGCCATTAAAAATCAATTACATTCTCCAAAATATCTCCACAAGCAAAAACGCTTTACAAACTTTACAGAGGTATATTATTAAAATGGAACCTTATAATATATTTCTATAAGGCTTTGTTTTTTAACTTAGTACAGATATTAGAGAAGCGAATATATTCTCTAAATACACGACCATTAAGTTACCAACATTCTTTGGCAGGAATGGTTCGGGAAATTTCCAGGAAATTAAGTCAAATTATCATCACAATTATCTTATCCTGTTTGGCCAAAGAATGCTGCATTCCCGTTAACTGCTAATTTCAAATTATTAGATTCATCAAAACAAATATGACATCGGGCAGCGTAGATTTAAAAGAAATTCAAGTGGACTTTGATCTCTTTTTGGGACGCCCCCATCAAAATTTCCCTTCGATAAACAACTGACAATTTATGTTTACATAAAAGCAGGAAAACAATCCTTGATCTGATCTTTAAGACTACATATTAGATTCATCATGTCCATCTGCACGTCACAGTGACTGATATTGACCAAAATTGGTTTGGTATACCTACACAAAATCTTAGTTCAAATTCTTTCGTTTATCTTGAGACCTTTTACAGACGCTGATAAAAGTTTGTGCATGTAAAATTGAAGTGTTAGTATCAGTCTCATTGGATAAATTTTTGGCAGGCCTTGCTATATATTCACCCGAGACCAAAAATCATAAATTAAAAACTAAAAAGAATCTTCATGACATTTCGTATATATTTACGTAAAATTCAATGATTGAATAGCAACACGTCCTTGTAAATGTGAACCATCGAAATCGACCAACCAGCGCGTTCAATTTACAATAATTTCGCATACTTTGGCAGCAGTGAACAGAACGTACTTTTTAAACGTTACGTTCAGAAATTTTTTAAGTTTAATCCACATGCACTAAAACGTTTCTCAAATGTTATACGTTCACAAATTTTTTAAATTTAATCCACATGCACTAAAACGTTTCTAGTGATGAATGTCTTATGAAATTAAATTTGGTGAACAGATTTCTCTAACGTATATAAACAAATAAACTGCTTATTTCTTTAAAATGATGGACAGATGAATACGGGCAACTAATGGGCGTTACGTAATATGATTTTCTCCAAGGCAGTTAAAATGTTCGCTTCACAAAATTTATAACCATATATAACACAAAACGGTTTAACCAAAATTCGGGAATTTTGCA